AAAAAGTGGTATATATACTCTAAATCTGGCCTATTTGATCGAGTATAAGGTGATTTGGTTAGTTAAGGTGGCAAAACCCACTGATGATGCCGACTACGATGACGGCGAAACGTTTGAGAATGTATCAAGTACACTGTCAGATGCTGGGAATCATGATAACTACTATGGCAGACGACTTCGGACTAGATGCGTTCTACATGGTCTCCCTGAAAACAAGACCAAGTTGCACAACCCACTTCTGCCCGTTTAGGCTCACAACCCCACTCGCGAGAGCATCTTCTCCATCTCGGACCAGCCATTAGCTTTTATGCTTTTCTCTTTTTCCAATGCTGCTTCAATTTCCCAACTATTTGTGCCTATCTGATTATCTTGCTTATTCATTTTCTCATATTTCTATGTATATTCTTTTGCACACAAATCCCTCTTGCAACCCACCTACATTAGCTATACCACAATTTCGCGTGTCTTAAAACTGGTTTGCTTGCTTGTTTATCCATCTTTTATCCATAGATATTCATTATTACTATCCATTTCTATATTGTCATTATTATTATCGTTACCTATTTATCTTCATTTCCCATTTTCTTGCTCATATCGCCATCTTTACTCTTCCAGTTCTCTGAAGTCTACGCTCGACTTTTCAGATGTCGATCTTCGCTCTGTTCATCTAGATCCATTTGCCAATTTACTTCTTCCTCCGCATTCTCCTTCAACATTCCCGACATTTTTGGGCATGCCACCGCCTCAGCCCGCCTCTCCTCCGCCTAGCCCAGATAGCTTCACTGCTGACTCGCCCCAGCTCGAGACCGATTTACTCTTCGAGCTGTGGGACAGCGTTATTACTGCCCAGGAAGGAGCTAAGCCACCCGAACAGTCAAATATTCCTCCAGGCTTGCCAGATCTCACTTTTCTTGATGATGTGGAGTTTGCCAGCTCATCGGCACACACAGCTGTCCCGTCTGGACTAAAGGCGTCTCCCCTTGATCTGATTGGACAGTCTACAAATACCCATCCTGAACGATTTTCCCAGCAGCCGCATATGCCAGCAGAGTCTCCTGCATCTCTCCAACCGTCCCACACTCACTACGCGCCTAGCTCCACTCATCATAATAACGAACCCCTGGTGCAAAACCAACTGTGTCACACTGCGTTCTTCTCCGGTCGGCCTATGAACACTAGGTAACCTTCATATATTTGACCAGAAGCCAAGAATCAGAGCAATGCCTACATCCATGTTTCTGAACTAGGCGTATATGTTCTTTCAATTCCTTATCTACTCACTATGCTCACATCCCTCAAGTATCTTTCCTTTATGGAAGTTAGCTAGTGTTTTTTCACAACTTGGTCGCGTTGTAAGGGCGGCGTAGTTAGACACTTCGAGGTCCTTTACTATAGTATTTATTGTAATTCCCATTGTCGCATCATTTACTTGTTACATTCGCAGCCGTATCGCTGACATCGTCAGTGAGTCTTGCCATTTTTAGTACCAAGATACAACTCGTCAAAGAAACAAGTGAAGTCAATCACTTGACTTCGTACAAAGTGAGTCCAAATAAGTCGCCCTGACAACACAACCAAGTTGCGAAAACGAGGTCAGCCCACTTCTATACATCGAAAGTAGACTTTGAACATACTAAAGGCCACATCGTCTTGGTCTTCATATCTTTCCTGTGTCATGGCCTATTTTTCTCGCCTCTCTTCTCGATTTTGATTAAGCCTCTAACTTTACTGCACTTTCCTTATAAGCCCCATTTCTTGCTTCCTTTCGTCACAACTTTGTAAGATTTTTTAGTGATTCACTTTTTATGCATATTTGAGCTAAACTAATAAACATGCTTCATTTTACATTCTAATTCTGCGCGTTCAGAAAGCAATTGACCTTGCAAAATAGCCTTACTCTTCCATGGAACAGTCTCCTTGACAGCGTTAGTCGAATTCCAACATAGTCTACTATCGACTAAATACACAGGAATTATAGGTAGATATGTCAAAGTACAATCAAGGATGAAAAAAACGATATATTAGAATTAATTTTATGCTACTTTATTTCCTCTATAAAATATTTCTTATATATCATCTGCTTTTTCTCTATATTCCGCAACTTATTAGGACGTCAGATCGTACGAACCATGCTCTCCAACGGCCAGTATCGTTTTGCCTACCGCGATCTGAGTCTTCATCAGTCCTGGATCCCGGAAACTTGCAGCATATACCTTTTTCTCCAAGCCGCAACAATCCGCCAGGTCCTGAAGTCTGCAAGAATGGACTCAGTGAGTTCTACTCCTCCTTTCCATTCATTATTATCTTATTGCTTTACTATTTTTGTGTATAAACGCCTATTCCTTTTCTCTCAGAAGGCCTATAAAAACAATACACTTATAAATGTATTCATTGATTTATCTTTTTCTGACTTTCTTTTTTCATATTTATCAATTTAGGTTAAATTGTCAATCTATTCTTCTATTTCTGCCATATTTTCCTATTAAATTTATCTTGACTTATATTCTATTTAATAATATTTTACACTCGTAATCGCTCCCTGAAACTAATCTGTCAAACCTTTTCTCCTTTCTTAAAGCCTTCTGCTTTCGGTTCTGCATGAGCACACAACACAAGGTTGCCTCGGCAGACCATTTTTCTTCAATAATATATATAAATTAGTACATTTTAAACTTGGGGGAAACTGCAATCATCGATACGAAGATGGTTGAAGTCGGCATCAATCAACTGCATCACACTTAAAATTCGCAATCAGTATCGTTTCTTAACTCCTCTGTTCGTATGCTCTATCTATTAATCTTCTCCTCTTAACCTCCCTTACCTTTATCCCCAGTTAATCGGGTAAATATTATTGTCCATTTATGGTAGTTAATTGACTAAATATATTGATTTGGGCTCAACGGATAGAGCTTGTCTATGGCTACAAAGCGAAGCTCTAAGGAAGCTTTCATTCTTTACTTTTATTGTTATTGGAATTAAACTATGGAGATATGAACTCTTGACCAGTTGTAAAATTTTGTTAGACTTATCTGATAAGCATTTTCCGAATGGTCTATTAGTGGTAAGATAGGTCTTGCATTAATGTCCTTGCGGTTCTGACAATTCGAAGTAAACTCTTTTTCTGCTATTGTTTCACCTGTTGGAATTCGAATGCAGGTTCTGTATTAAGTTTTGGGATCACAAATGTCTAATCTTCTTCAGGTGGAGGAAATGGCAGACTCGTCTGACAATATATATATGCTAGGGGGGCACATTTAAACTGTATCCGAATAAGTCTGGGGCTATTAAAAATTACTATATGGGAAGAAAAGTTTAGTTTTGACGAATCTCTTGTTTCATAATTGCTGAGCTTACTTCTATTTCGAGAAAAAAGGTTTGGTGTAGAAATTAGAAGGTCAATCCTATCAGAAACGGACACCATCAGAGCAAAGTATCAGCTTTACTACCATATTCAAGCCTATGAGTCAAGAAAATTTATTCCTACCTAAATGCTGTATATATATATATATATATTAAATTTTTAATGAGGTATAAAGTTATTTGGTTAGTTCAAAATCGATGCATGTGGGTGTGTCTGTGTGTATGTACCTGCGTATGTTCGCATATGTAAGAAACCAGCAGTGATGGCCAAAAATAATTAGGACAGAAAAAGTAACGTCTTTCCTTGACCATTAAGATTTGATGACCACCATCACCCCTTTTATATACGTAGCAATATAAATATATACATATATTAAACTATCACTCCGAATGCGCAAGGTTGGACACGTCTGGTTATGTTGCTGAGCTTTTTTTTCATGTAATAGAGAAGGATTTGACTAAAAAGTAAAAAAAGTGTCCGTGATTAAGACTAAGAAAAGAAAATTCTATTTTATTCGCTCAACACCTTGAGGCTATTAATTAAGCAGAAACAATTTTTACTTTACTTTTTGCGGGTATTCCTTACATTTCAATGTATTTCCTATTTGGTTTACTTCGATTGCTTCTCTAATTTTACATTTAGCTGCAGACATACCTTAATCAGCTGACCCTGAGCAACCTGCTTTGATTGCAATCAACGAGACATTTTATTAATCTGACGATTTCTAATCTAGAGCTGATTGATTGTGATCTCAAGACTTTTGACACATACCTGAGAAGGCCTTATTTCCTAATCACTTTACATGATCAACGCATTAACAAAATGTCCTACAAAATAATTTAAAGACATTGCAGAATCTGTTAAGGCAGCTTGCATATCTTTTTGTAAGACGTATTGAATATCTTCAAGCCAATATTCTTTCCCAATCTGGTTTTAAATTCGTATTAATCGTATTCCATATTAGGCTATTAGTTTTAGTATGTTCACAGCCTTTTCTTATGAAATCTTTTCCTCTGTATTATTTTCATACTACTGCTTTGCTTAGCTATTTTTATTTCAGTCCTTTGACTTCTTCCCCTTTATTCCTATTAATAGGTTTGTACTTTCATTTCAGTTCTTTTATATAATTTTTTGTATTTCTCTGCCTTCTCGCTTTCCAAGCCAATATAGAGCCTCTAATTGATTCCTTAATAAGCTCTGCTCGGCCCCTGTACTTTTATTACCCCATGGAAGCTCAGAACTTTGATATTTATGATTGTAGAATATTTAACTTTCTGATGGGTATCATAGTTTTATTTTTTAATATGACATATATATGCGTTATACAAAGCCGAATTATCATCTTGAGAATTTCTTATTCGTGGTCATACCTACGATCAAAATTTGATTTTATCCTACAAGCTGTGTGAACAGAGAGCACCCTAGCACACGGAAAAATCAAGCATTTTTCTGAATTTATCGAGACAAATCAAATGCGAAGAAAAGTTGAGTTTCTAGGAATCTCTTATTTCATAATTGTTGTGCTTACTCCTATTTCGAGTGAAAGTGTTTGGTGAAGAGATTCGAAAGTTGATCCCATCAGAAGACGACGGCTGATTCCCTTTTACTAAGTGTCGATTGTCTTTACTAAAGTAATCTTGTTGACGCTGTTTCCGAGGTGATCTCCTTTGATTCCAGTGAAAATGTGATGAGCTTTCGCCCGTCACATGACGAACATCATCAGAGCAAGGTATCATCGTCGCAGCTAAATTCAAGCTAATGAGTCAAGAAAATTCACCGGTAAATCCCTAAAAAGCGGTATGCATACTATATATCTAGCCTCTGATTAGGTATAAAGTGATTTGGTTAGTTAGGATAATATCTCAACCTCGAAGCCTGTGAATGTGTCTGTCTCTGTATGTTCATGTGCCTGTTTGTGTTCGCTTATGCACGAAACACGCAGTGATGACTGAAAATAATTAGGACAGCAAAAGTAACGTCTAAAAGTTGTTTGACCTTGTTTTCGCAACTTGGTCATATTGGTAGAAAGACTTAGGGGAACGCACCTTGTCCTTGCATGCATAATTATTTCCAAAGTCGGACCCTGGACCTGGTACATTCCCAGACGTTTCGCCGGCACCAATATGACCGAGTTGCGAGAACAAGGTCAAACAACTTCTCGTTTCAGCAACTTAATCGGAGCAATCTTTTGTTTGGCCGGCCAAAGTGAAGGCCATGTCATCTTGAACTTCATATCTACGATCTTCTCTAATTTGTTTCATTATGCTCACAACAGATGTCTTTCATTTGGCTTCACATTGTCCACCGAGGGTCTCATCCAAGCGATTACTTTTCTTCACGGTCAAAATACTTTCTTGATCTATTCGTTTTTTTTACAGATCTTGCTGCTTTCGGCTCCATCTCCAAGATTTACATCCATGTCTTGGTCGTATGAGAATTCTTAGGGTGAATATATGATAGTCATCGGAAACCTGAGTCTTTTGATGACAGAATGTACGGCCTCTTTATCTATTTCATTCTTTGTCGCCTGGTTAGATCAAGCCAGTTAATAGGACTTGAGATAACGAATTCAAAAAATGCACCAATTTTATACTGCTGCTTCATAAAATGGCCCCATGAGGGCAAAAATTAACGGATGATTTTTTTCTTAAAAGAGATCACGTTTTTGAGAGCCCATAAACTTTCTTGTCTGTCTGTTCTCTTGCTTCATATACAGGCGACGTGTCCCTCTGTAGTCTGTCAAATGTTTTTCTCTGCCGTACCCACTCTGCCGCCCACTGTGCAAAAGAAGTTGCGAAGGCACTTTTCTCTTTTTAACATTCCATGTCCTTGTGACTATTTTAATTAATAGGCATTCAATCATTTGGCTTTTAACTTAATTCCGACTTTCACATACGCCTTTGTAATCACTTTTTAATGACTGGTTATTCATTGGAATTATGCTTGTCATTCTATATTACGACGAGCAGTGAACCGGTCTGATCAGTGCCTATGCCTTGGCCTGCGAGCTGCTGTGGAAAAGCATGTTCTTCTGTGATTGATTTAGTTACTTTTAGTTTGTCATCACACTCACTTGAGAAATAAACAGTTCAAATCGAAGTCTCACATTTTACCTTACTTCATGCCCATATTATCTAAAATTAGAATATTCACCGCTAAAACTCTGCTACTGTATCTACACTTAATATCACAATTAAGTAAAGTTTTTTCCCGTTGTCTCAACCCAAATTTCTAGTCCAAACTGGGTCTGGATCGAAAATAATGGCTGTAACTGGTCTTCAACTTGCCAATCTTAGGTTCATATTTATCCATGCATTATTTGAACTTGGTTCATTGACTTGAAATGCTAAACAAATGAAATCCTGTGCTAAATTGCCCGATTTCCTTGGATTTTTGTTTAATTAAGTTAAGTCATTGTACCCTTGCGCCTCCGCTCCCTGTTCTGTCTCCCTCCAGCTCGATTAAACTGGCTAGAATTTTCCTTTCCGGATTATTTCATATAGCCTGTATATCCACATACACACACACATGTAGATAGAATTTATTATTATTCCACCAGCCTGTTTACTCAAATAGGGAAAAATTCCA